CAAAAATAGCCCTTCAAAATTTCAATACAATTAAATACTTATTCAAAAACTAATCGCTTTTCGTTTATAGATTTAACGATATACTTAATTTACCATTTTTATTGGTTACATTTTAAGAAAAAAATATGCTAATTGACCCAAAAATATGATGACGTTATAATTCTGTTTTTCACACCAAATGCAAAAACAGTTTTGTTTTGGACATTTAAATACAAGTATTGAATTTTCCCGTATTATACTGCCGTCGAAATACAGAAGTTCATACTAAGTAGGTCTACAAACATAAACTTAGACCTAACATTTACAATAAGGCAAATTAGCATGAACACTGTTTTGACTGCATACTATCTTGTTTTAACAAACTGTGGGAAAGCTGTTATTACTTTAGTTAGCCAGTCAATTCTCGGTAACCTGAATATTGAAATGGGTTTCGAGACGTATCATTTAACAGGAACATTTAGATTTCAGGTGAAACTGCATCCAATTTCTGCAATGCTAAAATAATGAAAGACATTGCAAATACCAATTAGATTAACTTATGACTCACAATTATAATTTGGAAAATATCACAATTTCTGTTACAATAAAATAACTTTCCCATCACTATTTCAGCTTGGCTTTGACCGTGCACGTTGACAGATTCATTATCTTTGTGTGCAGCCTCTGTAAGCCGCAACTGTGGTACAGTCAGTGGGACTCGCTTTACGGCTCAAAAAGAATCAGTTGATCGTACATAATTGCGTCTATTGATTCCTTGAATAGACAGCGCGCCACTGAGAGCCTATTTGTGTTCACGGCCGACATCAAACGTATTCGATGACATTCAAAGCGAAATCACTTCGTATCTTCTTATCATTCTATATTTGATCGCAAAACTTCAAAGGTTTTTAAAAATAAATACACAAGAGATACGTACGTTTTCACAAAACAGAAACGAATGTTCAAAAGTCAGTGTCAAGAAGGAGATATAAGGGTCGAGCGTTTGTTTAGGGAAAAGTAAATCACATCTCGTACATAAGCGACTGTTAATACACACTGATGCGACAGAACGAAACACCAAATCTCAAGGAGGTTGCTTACTGCGACAGTATCGTGGTCGGGTGACATGGGTCGTCGCAGACGACACAGTAATACGCTGCGTCAACCGATGAATTATTCATCGAGCTACACAAAATCACTTTTTTATTTTAACCCTAAAAACTGAATGTGTGTACAAATTGGCTAATTGATAAGACCCATGTGATGATGAAATGTAAAAGATACGACAACTGCAAAAAAGATAAGCTTCATAAAAGTATTAGTTTACAAAATTTATACTGAAAACTTTGTTGAGTCACGTTGACTGTGTATTATATATGTATATACACATAAACATGTTCTATATTTTTGTGGATGTTTGCAGACTTTTTATTTATGTACAACCATACGCCGTGCCTACGAATTTCCATTGGAACTAATTAACAATTCCCAACCAAATGTTCAATAACGGACGTAGCACCCAGTTCAAAATGAACACGGAAATTTACAAAACGTGGAAAATACACCTCGAACTAAAGACTGATCGCGTCAACCACTGAGTTGAGGCTGTCACTCAAACCGATATCAGAGAGTTTGAAATTTACGATTTATTTTTGTATTTTAACTTACAAGGCCGGTCTTATATTTTTAACATGAAATAAAAAAAATGTAATCAATGTCAAACTTAAGAAGTCCGACATCAAACAAATATTTCTTTATCTTGAGTCACGTATTTCTTATAATGCCCGTGGAAGATTCCTCTTATTTTATAATATATTTACCAACATGCTTGAGGTTCTTCTAGAGTCTAACGTTAGCAAACTAGGACGTTGAAAATGTTCCGATCATGCCTATGCATGCGTTATCTCTAAGACCAAGGGAAAATTGAATTCTTTTTGAAAGCAATTGTTTCATCAATAATTGCAAATATACAGCGACGTAATTTTCTTGAAACAATTCCTAACTGAAACATGTCATGTCATGTCATTGATAGGCGCCTACAAAACGTACGCCACGAACGTGATATGAATCGAAAATTGCACTCAATCTTTCACTTAGTATCGTAAAACTTTTAATCGACTTGTGAAAAAAAAAGCGTAATAGAAGGAATGAAGTAAACAGTCGTACTCATTAAAACCTGATCATTAATTTGGCCCATGTTTATTAAGTATCCGTTGTTGTGCAAATATGAATAAAATGGAATAAGGCGGCAAATCAGGATCAAATTAGTCACACCCATGGATAGAAGAGTTCAAGTGCTTTACCGCTCTTTTGGAAGCTAGGAAAAAGTGTGGGCCTGCAGTAACATAACCCACGCGACAAAACAACGCAATTGAGGTCGTGGTATTACTCCGGTCGAGCTAACCCGTTCGAACCGAAGCATGACTCTCCCAAACTTACACACAAATGCGTTTTATTGGAAGAAAATGACGGCCAATAAAGTTTTACGTGGAATTTTTTGGTTTATTAATTTTGAATAGCGTTAACAATGCTTACCTGCTATCAATCTTATAAGGTAACCTTTCGTGGACTGAGCATTGTAACGAAGGTTTAGGTTAGGTCAGTGAATGCCTTAGCTAGTTAGGTGCTACATTATCTGTGACGGCGTGAATGTCAAGTTCTTGGTGCTATTCTGTTGTTATAATGTCGCCGTGATATTTTTAGTGTTGTCTTTTGAGTCACGGCTGCCCATTATGGTCTGTTGGCGTAGAGGTTACAATGTGGCACCTTCAAAAATTTTGAGTGACCTTTCATCAATTAAGTCAAAACTAAAATTTACCCAAAAAGGTAAAATGTTGATGTGATCTTTGAGTTTGTCGTGTACACTAGGAGCATTCCCTTGAAGTACAAATGACATGGTTTATCCAATGATGTCGGCGGAGCTTGAAATGAGTGTCAGTTTCAGTCTTTGTACTTCCATCACAGTAAGTGCTCAAAGGAAATAAAGTTTAAACCGCTCTATGCGTCCTTTTTAGTCGTTGGCTTACTTTATGTACACTTCAAGTATTACCCGAACATTAAAGGGAGTAAGTGTAGATAGTAATGTTGTATATGTTTACTTTCAGTACTTTAAAAGCTGTATTAATTTTTATAAAACATTTTTATAACTGAGCGGATATGTCAACATGTTTTTTTTTGTTTTCTTAACGTTATCGAGTCTTAACGTTGCTTGCTTTATAGGAAAACAAAAGCTTTCTAAAATTGAGCTTCGATCCAGTGTGGCACGCAATTATTGTATGGAAATTGTGCCTTCAGTTGAATTTTAAAATTTAGTACTAAGTGATAATGTAAAGAAGTAATTAATTTTCTTGTTTCTTTGTCTGTTCTAAGTATCTATTTATATTACATGTCATCATCACACAAATAAGATCCTAAATAGATAGCCGCTAATTTTATGTTAGACAAAATTACGTCGATGTATTTAAAAAATTAATGATGTATCATCAGCTACTTTCTTGTAAAGTTTTAATTGAAAATTATTAATATAAATTAAAAAAGAAACGGACCCAATATCGAACCCTGTAGGACGCCCATTTTCATTTCCGAGTCCTGTGCATTATTTTCGTTTACATGAGCCTTTACCTTGTTATCCTTTAAATATGATTTCAACAGACGCAATAATGATCCAATTTCAACAAAAGTGTCTTATGATCAACGCAATCAATCGCTTTTGAGAGTTCGCGAAAGACACTGACAGCATCTTTTGCTTCCTGGCAAGCACTAAATATTTTCTTCATTAAAGTGAGACTAGCGTCAATGACAAATAATAGGAATTCAAAAATAACAACGCAATTTTTTTTTGTCTTGAGTGTGGTAAATTCTACAGACTGTTGTAATTTTTGATGGTAAGATAATTCATATTGCATGGAGTGTTGTTTGATCACGCAAATGGAGCTTTACAGAAATATATTATAGGCGGCAAGATACATACAGCATGTTTCTAAAACAAGTTGGCTCGGCGGCTGCCAACAATGCGGCCATGTTCTCCTACATAACACTAAGTCACAACAATGGCGACGTCAGCTAACTTACTCAACATTGTTTAGGTATGCTAAAAGATAGTGGTTGCAGTAAATATTTAAACTGGTATTATAACTATGTGGCTTAATGATTATATCATAATTCCATTTCATGCTCAATAGGTATATTAAGGTATTTTATTTTTCTTTGTTACAGGCCCCGCACCGGCGTGGTAGGCGTACTACTGAGGGTCGCGCGCCCTCTCCTGTGACTAGCCAGAGTTCTAGCGCACGGCACGGGCGGCGGATTGTAAGCAAACATTCAAATTTTTCTTAAGCATAGTCTTTTGTGAGCAATAGAACATGAACATTTCGTATAAATGAATATACTCTTATAACTTGAGACAGATAGGGATAGCGAGTATTAGTTATTTCTGGAGTTGTTTGAAAATTGTGTGGTACTAATGAATGGACATGGCATATACCTACATATCATAGAATCATCAGTGTTCCTACATGAAATGCCTCGACTTGGGTTTGATTTTTACTCATTCGAATATACCAAGATTAAATATAAATAAAACCTAATCTATATTCAACCGATGTCCACTACTGGCACATCGGAGAATGTTTCTGTAAGAAAAGAAGTAAACTATAATAGCTAAATATTTTCATAAAATTGGATGATCCAATCCGCACCTCAAAGAATTATTAAGGAGACTCTCGTTGGTTACGGCTGCCGATACATAGTTCTTTTTATCGTACTTAAGTGTTTAGTGACCCAAATGCACTGAAAATATACGTAATGTAGTTGTTTTATCTAATACAAAGGGTAAAAAAGAAAATTTCTGATAAATTAAAATCTAGCTTATTGCATTATCTTCTCTTCGGCGCTGACAGTTTCTTAGTGATGGTCATTGATCAGGTTGTTGATGAGTATATTGTTGTGTTGACAGAGGCGTGGGGCGCGGCGCGTGGCGGCGGCGCGGGCGCGGGCGGCGCCATGACGCGGCGCCCGCCACCATGACGCTGCCGCCGCCCGCGCGCCCCGCGCACCCCGCCGCGCACCGCGCAATGCGCTATTACCGCATCTGGATCTATGCGTGCAACGGCGCGCTGTTGCTAGGGGCGCTCGCATTCTGCGCGGCAGCGGGGCGCGCGCTCTCCGACTACCGGCGGGCACTGGTGCCGGGTCTCGGCGTGGCTCAGCCAGGATTCCTCTACGGGTACGCGGCGCTGCCTGCGCAAGCGGGACTGCTGCAGCTGCTCGGTTGTCTAGCGGCATTAAGACTTTCTGAACGAATGCTGAATGCCTATTGGTTGGCACTTTTAGCCCTGCTTGTTGGGGACGCTGCAATAGGAGTTTACTGGGCGTTCAGATTTGAGCGAGTTTGCCGCGAACTTCGGCCTCAATTACGGCTTCGTCTGGCAAAGGATTACGACACGGATATTGACTTCTCACAAGCTTGGGACCGCCTGCAGAGAGAACAGCGGTGTTGCGGTGTCACGGGGCCGGCAGACTTTGCGGCTTTCAATAGAACTACTCTCCCGGCGAGCTGTTGTCGTATCCCAGCTCACACGACTTCAGTCACGCCGGCACTGCTGGCCGTCACGTCTGCCACGTCTCCGGCGCCCTTCACTCCCGTGCACTGTGCTCCACACACAGCCGCCTGCTCAGAGAGACTACTAGTTTGGCTTCGACGAACTGCAGACGCGTTGTTCGTATTAGGATATTGTGTTATAGCATTTTTAAAATTGTGCTTCCTTGGAATCCTCCGGTACGAAATAAAGGAGATGATTCAAAAAATTAGAATTTTACGAAGCGAGTTGGGAGCAGGCGAACTACTCGATGGTAGCCCTATCCACGGGGGACCATTGTCGCAGACGATAATAGTGAATGCCGTCAATGCAAACGGAGGAGTGCGAGCCCATGGCGGTAGCCCTGAACGCGCGGGAGAGCGCGAGGCACTGCTGGGGCGAGCATCGGAGGCGTGCCCGCGGCGGAGCATACACGACGAGCCGTTAGGTCCCAAGACGATAAATGGAAACAACAACTGTGAGATGCGCGAGCTGGCTCGAGGCGACTACAGGCCATTGGCAGCAGACAGTGCAGCGACTCGGATCTGACTAAGATGTTACTTGGAGCGGCTGTTCGGGCGGCGCTGGCGCTCGTTCCCGGCGGCGGGCTGCGAGCTGGAGCCGCCGCTGGGCCGCGCGCCGCCCGGCTGCGTGCGGCGGCCCGCGGGCGCGCGCGTGCGTCTCGACCACCGCCGACACACCCGCTCCGAATTTGAGTTGTAAGCTATAGCCTGCGAGGCGATCAGTCGTTGCATTACGTCGTGACTATCGTATGTTTTGGTGCAGTCAATTGTGAGTACCGATGTCTTCGGTAGGACTAAAATATGTTCATAGTGGTAGCGATGTAAACTGACGTAACGATGCGAGTGACTGTAGTGATGACGTTCGGAACATTATGGATTGTGAGACATGAACTGAACACGGTGAACATTATGAACGTGCATCGAAAGATTAATGTGTAATTTAGACAAAGTGAATCAATTTTCGAGCAAAGCTTGTGTTATGTTCCTAAATTTGGCCGTTAAATATTGTTTAGTAGGTGCATAGGACACACCGATGTTTTACTTTACGGTCCCTAGGAAGATAGATAGATACCCGAGGTATCGTGACATCGTGACGCGTACAGCATGCGAGGGAACGCAGTCTCCGGGCAAACAATATGACGCATACTATAGCTACTAGGAGCGCGCAGTAAATCCATCCTACAAATATTGTATCTGTATACTCGACTACGATTTTAATATTTATAGCAGTAAAATAACGGGAATCAACCAATATAAGATTAATTATGATGATTGTTTAGCACTAAGACATAACAGTTTTTGATTGTATACCAATAGATTAATGGACATAATTATTATAATATGTATTTTACAAATTTTCATGTCATTTTACTCATTGTCTTCAATTAAAATTGTATGTATATGTTAAAATATATTGCCATAGTGTGTAATACCAATGACAATGCGTTCAGTGAGAGGTTTTTGCCCGCATGCTCACAGTACCACTGAGCATGGCGATACTTAGATATAAATATACCTACTTATTAAATTATAGATTTGTCATTTGATTTGATAGCTGAATATAGAGACGGCAAAAACTTCTTCCGTTGAATGCTTGTCATACATTTTGATATACCTATTCCTAATGAATTGTAAAATGGAACGGTTTGCTTGCACGGAACTTATACCTACGCTGTCACTTGAGTTATTTTCCTTAGGTCGTAACATTTGTATTATAGAAGTCTTAGTTTACTATAAGTATGTCTACCTGTTCATCCCTTGCACGACTACCCCGACTAGAGTTGAGTTCTCGTCCGCTTCCCCAACACGAGTCGGACACGCGGGAGCCGCGACCTTCCTCGCTCATCGTCTATTTAACTAGTTCTCATAATCATCCCTAAAGTGTCGGTAAATGTAAATAATAAACAAAATTTGTACATGTGTAGTATGCGAGTAATTGTGCATGGACAGATTGACAAAATACATAGTACTGATATGAGCTTAAACGACGTAGTGCCTACAATTATATGCTTGTAAACAGTATAAAGTGAACGAATACACTGTTAATGACATTTTAGTTTACGGCAGAAGAATTTAAAATGTTTCGTAAGTACTTACTACATTTATGATTGTCTTGACAGATTACAGACGTTTTTGCTAAAAGTTTAAAGAGATCGCGCTAAGAGTCTAGACTGCGCATAAATATTACAATAATCTCATGGTGTAAGGAATTAGGTAAATTTATTAATGGCTGTGTCAAATATAGGTAAAACCTATCGATGGCGTGTGTAGAGGGCAGCAGAGGAGCACGGCGGAGCGAGTCTGAGCGGCACGACCTGCGTTCGACCACGTTACACGTACCTACATTCATACATATTTGTACTTTACGAACTAACTTTATAGATATATTGTAATGACGAGTACGAAGTTATGTTCGCTTAGAGTAGGTATAATATTTTGTGAATTTATGCAGAAACATAGTTTTTTAATATTGTTGTCACATGAATGTACCAATCTTATAAAAATTTGTACCTATATTCGGAAAGTTGAATAATTTGTAGCTAGGATCCAATCTAAATCCTGCATTTCTTCCAAAAAACGGTAAAAATAACATGTGCCTTGGCTTATAAAATGTATAACTGACGTTATGTTTATTGTAAATTAATGGATATAAAGTGAACACGAGCTCGTGTCTGATGTGCTGCCTACACCTTCCCACGTACTCGTGCCTATTCTCTACTGTGGCTGTACTCTCCAACTCTCGATTCTCTTACTTCGCCTTGTTGTTCGACTCGAACGCTCACTTCCAGTGAATGTTTCCCACTTATTTACGTTTCACTCTCTGCTCATTTTCTTATAGTTTCGTTCACAGGAGTTTCCCTATGTGCTATACAATAAAACACATGGAATAATTAAATACATAACTGTACAAAAAAAGGATCAATTTATTGTTGTGCTGTTCCGATGTCATTTGTATCAATATTAACATATGAATGGTGTACACTGTACGTAATCTTTTGAATTCTCAACTGTCACTATATTTTGAATGTTTTCCTTGTTCAGTGTGTTTCACTATTATAGTAGAGTTGTTACAACTTTCCGAAGGTACGCACTAGGCGACTGAGAGCTAATATTATCATAATAAATGCATTAAATAAAGAGTTTGTTAAAATGTTGCCGTTTTTTATTTAATTACTTTCTATACTAGCACATACATAATATTTAAAACACAAAAATATAAAATATCTGTAACCATTTGAATAGTTTTTTTTAATGTAGGTAGATAATTAGTAGGTTGAAGCCGTTGCTATACATAAAATAAATAAGTATAAATGAAATGATTATAGGACTTCTATGAGTCCTTTGAAGTTACCAAATGCAGACATCGTTGAGCATGTAGGTAATCAAACACTCACCTGCGCTCCCTCTTCCTTCAACCTGTAAATACGGTCGACGTTCGCTCCGCCGATCACTAACACGTCTCCCCCGCAGTTCTTGTCTCCAGAGAACAAAGGACTTTCATCAGCCCGTCGGCTGCAAGAAGTGTGAAAATGTCTCGAAGTATTGGACGCACATTTCCCAGCGCCCTTCGACAATCCAATATTAAACGCATTCTTAGAATCGTCAACGTTCTTGAGTTTTTTAAATTCAACTGCGATATCGGCACCTACTTTCGCGTTGTTCTTTATTAAAGCAATATCTGGGGACTGTTCAAGAAATATATTGTAGCAATTAGCTTTGCTGCTATCATTTATAGACTGGTAGGTATTTCAATACGTTTAATTTTGGCGGACATTACGGAGGTGCTTGGTCTTATTAAGAATTTTAATGGTCTCATTATTATTCTGATAAAAGGAGCTTTCATCATTGAGAGTTTTATGTCTGCTCTCTGCTTAGCTAGTGAGACGTATGGTTTCTTAATTATTTTTCTTAAAAGGATACTGGCATTAAGTGAAGCTCCGCTCGTTGCCTTGGCGACCGCAGCAAGTATGAATGGTGTCACTTCTTTCCCAGAAATGCCGTTCCGATCAGCTTCTTTCAGTGCATTGTTAATAGCTTCTTGTATTATTTTCTCTGGTAACCATAAATAAGTCTTGTATTAAAAACATTCATAGCTTAACATTAGCAGAAATGATAATATTTAATTGAATTTTAACAAAGCTTTTCCTATTTCTATAGTTTCCAACGTGGAGCCTTTTCAAAAAGTTTTAATTAAATATGAATTATTAAAAATTAAAAATAGTTTATGATAGAAAATTATCTAGAAATCAGTTCATTATATTTTTCACAGTAAATGGGTCCTCCACGTTCTTTAATTAAAGTTTTATAAGTAGTTAAGGTTACCTTATTTATTTTATGTCTGCCAGTTGGGTTGGTTTAGTTTATACTTTTTATTATTCATCGCTGCATAATCGGAATACCGCATAATGAGCAGCTTTAGAATAATCTTGATAAATTATGAAATACGTTGTACAGTTGCGATTTTTCTAAGAATGTTTGCATTGTAAAATTGTTTGAGTCGTCAAGGTACTTTTTTATTGCGCATATTTTGTAAGCACTCGAAATGTGGGTCTTTGTTTTAGCTAATGGCAAACTTTAGAATTTCTTTATTTCTTTGCTAACTTAATAACTAGGAACGCATACTTTAATCTAAATTATGACTATTAACTATAAAAGTCGCAACTAACAACTTTGAATTGTATAATACTGTAAAATTAATACTTATGATGTTTTATAATTCAAGGAAGTAGAAGATAAAGAAGTATGATAAAAATGCATTCCATTTTATTTAAAGAGCATCGTGCCAGGGCTTTATAAAGTACTTTTAAGTGTGGGAGAGCCATGCTTCGGCACGAATGGGTCGGCTCGACCGGAGTGATACCACGGCCTCACAGAAAACTGGCGTGAAATAACCACTGCGTTGTGTTTCGCCGTGTGAGTGAGGTTACCGGAGGCCCAATCCTTCCCCTTCCCCAATCCCTCCTCAATCCCTTAATCTCCAAATCCCTAATCCCTAAAAGGTCGGCAACGCACTTGTAACTCCTCCGTTGCGAGTGTCCATGGGCGGCGCTGATTGCTTACCATCAGGTAATCCGCCTGCCCGTTTGCCGACCTATTACTTAAAAAAAAAACTTACCATCCATAGCGTGTTCCTGCGGCACAGGTACGGCAACGACGATCCCCGACGCAAGTTTCATTTGACGTGATGCGTGCAACACGCGTGCAGCTTGCAGTGCGTCACTCACGCGATGCGGTGCAGTGAAACCTGACCGAGTGGTGTAGAACGCGGGAAAGTCTGATGTCTCGCCAAACGCGCAAACACATACACCCTGCGTCTCCTGTTAAAGAGAAAATATTTTTAGACAAAGGAGAAATTATTGCTCTATAATGGCACGACATTTTATTCAATGGCTTTAGCTGGTCTAGTATTGGCATGAGGAAATATTGCATCTCACTACAGATAAGAAGACGTAGACATTATGTCTCGATATTATTTTCTCTAAAATAGAGATCTTAGGAGTAGGTAGTTAGGTTCGTTATTTGCTTAGCAACGAACTTCCCTCGGGCAGATCTTAGAATATACGCTGTAGCCTAGCGACCTGGATACTGTGTTTTTCTTTCACTAAGTAAGTAAAACAGAAATAATATGACGGGATCAGAATTTACTTTGTTCTGGTTTTGAATCAAAAAGCGCCTTGAGCACGGCACGCTCGACAAAAGGACAGTCAAGTGGGAATCGCTCAAGTAAAAATGACAACGTATTTTATGTTCTCCAATTATTTATATACATTGTACTGTTCACGTCGTAAAACACGAGAAACAGAAATTCTTTTATCGTTATGTGCCATAGAGGGTACCGTGAAATGGTAAGTTGGAAACTGACCAGCCATGAAGCAATACCGAGAGCTTATGTATTTACCAAGTATTCGAGAGTTCGTCCAATGTCTAATATGGATTTAACTCCACTGCAAACGACGAGGGTATTGCTGCGTCCCAGTTCGTTCAAATCCGCCGATATGTCCAATGTGTTCTCGCCGTGACGATGCACACCACCTGCGACGGATAATCTAAATTTTCATATACAGAGTAGGTGCTATTCGAACTTAAAATGTTGGCTATGAAAATATTCCAATTTGATATTGAGAATATGGCAATTTGATATTGAGAAATTGAGTTTCGAAATAAGGGTGTGAAATTAGAATCTATACGTAGGTACCTAAGACTTAAAGTTTAGTTGTAAAATTGTTTGAAAGAAGAATTGCCGTTCGAAAATATTTGTCTCGAATTGTTCCAAGTATTCACTGGTTGGGGAAAACCAGATAAAAGTTTGCCGTAAGTAAGTATAACAAAAACGATATGGCCAAAGTGCTGAAAAGTCAAAATTACAAACGTCTTTGATTGTGTGAGTGTAATAAAACGTCGGGAAAGTATTTTCGTCGGGCCACGGGAAACTGGATTATTACATCACTGTTGGATGAACTACGTATTCGGCTGGAACACTCGTATGAGTGAGCCGTAATTGTTTTTGACAAACTATGTTTCTTAAACCCACAAACCAAATGTAAGTATCTACACATTACATACCACAGGCGTATGTGTTTACCCAATCTGCAATTCTAAAGCATTTAAGTAAGTAATTTCATTGCTATCACAATGCTAGAGTGTTTACCATGTGTTAGATAGTGTTCTGGATAGATAAAAACGACGTTAAAGTAACGCTAGAATAAAAACGCTACACTACGAACGGTATCCACTATGGGTATCCAATTTAAATATATACGAAAGGAATGTTATTTCACTTGATGTAATCTTATACCAAACAAATGTTCGCATATCCTCATCAATATCAATACATCTCCGTACCAGGATAAAACATGAAGAATGTGAACAAAAGAAGACACCCTTATTAAATCAGAAGACGTCTTATTTCCATTAATATTTTTATGTTTTCAAGATGGCAATTATTATACCGACGTGAATAAGATTTATATTCCATTACGTTCGCCGCAGAATAGAACCACCTACGCTTCGAGCTAGAAAAATAAAAATAATAAATGCAAGTTCACTAGGCGCAAGAATATTTTACATATGATTTATTTTTTAGACTTGTATATAAGTGATCAGTCTTACTTAAAATATTGTTGTGAGGAGTCCAGCATTGCCTTTATAAGAAATCGTCTAAAATACGATAACGACATAGTGGCCGTTGGGTCGCCATTTTGGCTTTGCCGCGCCAAACCCTGCTTTAGTGCCGATACAGCGTAATCCTTTTCAATCCATCGTCTCGTGTAGGTATTGGAAGACATTTGGCTGTTTCTTGCTCTCAAACTTTATCCTGACAGGCGTTAATTCAAATCGTCGGGACCGGAATGAGACTGCTTCTAACGATAATTTACAAGCCCAAGCACTACGAATGCTTATCTAGAAGGTGATAAATCGGGCTCTGTTTCAGGGAATTCGTTGTTAATTACATCGCCAGTTCGGCATGGCTACGATGCGACTGGCAGTAATGAATGCGCCGGCAAAGCGTTGAATCCAACCGTGATATCGTTGAAATTCATTTGTGAATTTCACAAGCACAGTTAATTGAAGTGTTTGCGGTGTTTTCACGATGATTGCTACTATTTGCGAGTCGTGACTTAGCGCTGCCTTGTACCGGAGTAGCGTGATAGTAGTTGTCGACTCACGTTTGTAACGCGTTCACTGCTTTTAAATAACTGAATAAAATATTTTAAGTGTGAACAGCGTCGAGTTTCATACGATTTTGGATCGTTTAATTAAGAGTGTCGTTTATTTAAATAGGAGTCATAAACAGGTTCATTAAGTGCGAATATTGCGAGACGTGAACGTAACGGCAATGAAAAAATGTAATTTGCGTTAATATATATCTTTATAGAGTAGTCACAGTAATTTCGCTTACAACTGTAATGAATTGCAGTCACATAAATGGAAATACTTATTATGAAACTTTGATGCGGAAATTGTCTGGTGACGCACTTAGTATCATGTTTGGGGTCTTGATCTTAAACAAAAATGTATTTTGTGACATCCAGCAACCTTAAGGAAGGGGTAAACTTTGTTTTTTTAAACTTTCATCTGGCCTCGAGTCTGACACTCCCTCTCGCTATAACCTGGGCAGTAGAAGACTTTTGAATGATTTTCTCTCACCAAAAAGTTCTCATTTTTACCAGGGTCAAGCGCAATAACGTAGCGTTTTCCAAGTCTAGAACAGGTGAAGAAACGGGGTGACTTTTAGTCACTATGAGTCTGACTCTCTCTATTACCACAACCACGGCAAGAAAAGTCATTTGTTAATTTTCCCCTCTCACAAAAAACCTCATTTTTCGAGGAAATAGGCACAGCTTTTTTGTTAATTAAGAATATCAATATCTATCGTATATCTTAATAACTATTCTCGTGATGTTTTATAGGTATAGCACTCCGGGATGTTGTAGCTATCTATCAGTGAAAGAATTTTGGAAATCCGAAAAGCGGTTCCAAAGTTTACCCCCTACATACAATCTTACAAACTTACAAACATACAAACTTACAAATTTTACCTCTTTACTAGCTAATCTCTCGCGGTTTCACTAGCTGGTCGGCTCCATTTAATCGTAGCGTGATGTTTTTTAGCACTCAGGAACATAGTAGCTATCTATCAGTGAAAGAATTTTGGAAACTCGACCAGAGGACCAAAGACCCTACATACAAACTTACAAATTTTACCTCTTTATAATATTAGTATAGAAGTATAGACAAACCATAATAGCATAAAACCTTAAATCCGAAGGTACTTGGTTATGTGTACATAATAAGCATGCCTGCAGCATATTATCAGCATGGTTGCCTTCAGTAGTGTGCAATAACGGTGACCGTTTACGCAACGGAATGTCTGGTGGCAAGTGCCTTTACCAGAGCGGGTCCTGTACTTGCGGTTCTTTTATGTGTAGCTTATGAAGCTGTTTGTAAGAGCCTGTTAGCTTGTTAGTAACTAAACACCTCGACATAACGAATGCATTGTAATACTAAACTAATTTCGCAACACATTCTTTTGCATGTTGTTGTTGTAGAGGTTCAGGTTTTTTTTAAAGGACTGGTTTGTTTAAGTTAAATAAAGAAGCACAATATTTTAATTGAATCCAATGAAAGGCACATATGACATAGTGTGACGTGCAAACAATATTATTATTATATGATCAAATGCAATAAAACCTAGGCCTTTCCCAAATTCAATCAAACGAGACAATAATTAATTTAAGTTAACGAAACCACAGGCAGAGGATTAACATTAATACTGAGTCATAAATTAAGAACCAGATTCGTGTATCCCTAGAGATTTCACTGAAGATCAATTTTTAGAGTTGTAATGAAAGATTTTTCTGTAATTAAATACAGCGATGGCGGCCAAACGGGTTAAATCGCGGCTTATTTCCCAGGACATTTAAAATGTTATATAGTACGTCTAGTGACATTGCTAGAATATTGAGTTTTGAATTGAGTTAGCAGTAATTACCATAAATACTTTTCTTGTAAGTTCAAATAGTTCTATATAAATACGCATTGGGATCCAGACAGGTACATAAACTAGACTCATTTTAATGATAGGTAACTAACAGGTTATTTCACGTTTCTAAAAACTAAACAAGTCTAGTAGTATGTGCTTGCACATACCTATGCCACCGGTAACAAACACAGGTATATCAGCAAGCTGTGCTGCGATGATGGTGCCGGCGACTGTGGTGGCTCCGTCCAGCTTTGCAGCAGCGATTGGTGCCAGGTCCCTGCGCGAAGCCTTCACCACTCCTTTGGCCTGCGCCAGATAAGTCAGCTCCTCCTCAGACAATCCAATAGTCAGCTGCCCTTTTAAAATGGCCACCGTAGCTGGAACTGCACCCTGTATAACACAAACAACTAATTCTAACTTCCCCAAGACGAAAACTTGACGGTAAAGTAAAAGAAGCTAAAAAACGATAACAAAGTGCCCGTATTTACGCAAGTCTGTTTAATTTAAATAACACTTTAAATGGAAAGACATTTTTTAGCGACAACATTAAAATAAAAAACTTTATCTCGAGCGTAATTACGAAAGGCCTGCGAAGGCACTAGCGCTCGGTTATCATATCGTAAATGAGGCTACGGACTGATATTTAACAAGACTTTTATAAGATTTTCCAACTTACCCTTTCTCTAATTATATTCTCAACTTGCTTCGCTGTTTCCAAGTTCTGAGGGTATGGCATACCGTGAGTAATGATCGTTGACTCCAGGGCGACAATCGGCTTACCCTCTGACTTGGCCTGGCGAACTTCTTCAGAGAAAACCCAGAGGGAGGCTGTACTATACCCCCTCTTACAAAACGGAGCTAGGCGTGAACCTCTTAATACGTACTTGGCTAGGTAAGCCATCTCGATACCTAAAAATAGAACTCAGTTCATTAGTGAATGCTAAAAATATATATGGAGTGGTATTTAAGAGGAAACGAGCGAAATAAATCGAGAGCACGAACTATTATCCGATTCCGAGGGACCGTGGATGTTTGTTGACTTTGCTTTCTGTCACAGCCAGGAGCTTAAATGTAGTTTCAGCAAAGTTCACTTAACTGCGATTGTGTCGCGAATAGGAATTCATTCGTTAACGAAAACGGTCTCTATTTAGATACATTTGGAAATACAGAGCTCGAATAAACTTCGCGAGAAATATATTATTATTGTTATTTATAAACATACTCCATGCTAACTTTTATGGAGGGAATGCCTCTATTAAAAGTTTTAAAATATATTAAAGTCAAACATAACGATTTGACTTATAGCGAAGGAAATTATATATGCATGAGCGCTCAGGACCACGAGAACGGCTGGCCAGTGAGGAGTGTACTTCGACATTTTTGATGAAGGCTATCTATCGGTCTGAGCACATTAATCAACGTACGACACGGGTCCCTCGCATCTCACCTGTGACGTCTGACATTGTGGATAATATAACACCGTCATTACACCCCACACCCTCGGGAATTCGGTTAAAACAATGTTCGTTCTTATTCGCTTTGTATGTGTGTGCATAAAAGATAGTAATTCAAAATGTATATATGTTTGTTACAGTAATAATTAAAGTATGAAAGACGGTTATGTTTCCTAGTTTAAAGTCGTGGACTTTTTATTGTTTGCATTCTACTGATTTTCTTAATAGTATAGGTTTGTTGTCAAATCTGTTAAAATTGGAAACTACTGCAGTATTTTTAGAGAGTTATCACGATTGACAGACCAGCAGTGTAGATTTTTTAATAAAGTTTGTTCGTACGCATGTGCAGTGATAACATTGACTATACAAGTGTCTGGCTCAGGAACTGTGCATTGATTTTTGTAACCACAACAAGGAGTCCTTTGCAAGGAGTACGGTAATCATCACCTAGCAACGATTTGTTTATAATTTTAACAGCTGTTTACCCAACGACGGAGTTGTCATATTTGCTCATATTATCGAAGCCAGTTTTTTCATAACGTTTTCCGCTTTAGTTTGGGTTTTTATAAAGCATCGTTATTTATTCACATCGACTTATCGTCTTCTGTATTCTATTTTAGGTAAGAATTTATTATTTTGTACATTATATTATCCACCTATGTTGACATTTACCACGCTCGTGAGTTTCTGAGGAAAAATAATTTCATTACGCTGCGAACATTGTATGGCAATCGGGCTCAACTTCAAAGTACCATGCTAAAAATAACGTAATTCACTTAGAATTTTGATTACACAATTTATTCGTTATCTACAAAGAAAATTTGTTCCATGTGTGACTTATTTCTAGTTGGTTAAACATTTGTGTTTTTTATACCGGTCTCTGTACCTATCCAGCAAATCTACAAAGTTATTTGTTATGCTTTAATCTCAAGGAGAAATGATTGAAACTATTTAAAAAACTGCATGCATTTTTATGTTCTGGTATACTTGAGGAGTACTTGATCACTCGATCAGCAGTGATGTAGTGAGGAGTAAAATTCTGTTCAATACGAGAGGGCTTCACGATACTCGATTTACAAAATCGCTGGATTACTTCATTTCCTGCGTGCGTATCTCAGGAATTGCGTGATGCGTGAACGAGATATCATTGGCTGAAGGTGGTTTAGGCTCACGGAGCACATCGCTTATCTGACTACGTGCTACGTGCTTCTCACGTCGTTCACGTTGTTGTACAATATATTTATTTATGTGCGGGTATTCGGGCTTTAGATTACAAGTTTGGGCTTTGTTTTGTATGTGCCTGTTCCGTATACGGTCTCAAAAAGAGATGTATTGATTCTTTAGTATTTTCTTTGTAGTTGTCGTAACGTTGGTGAAAAATGACGTTTTGATTTACATATTATCATTATCTATACCCTATTCTCATAGGCAGTAAAGATGACTAAATTGTCACGATTCTAATAAGTTCACCTATTAAGTTTCAAAATTCAAATTTATTTGGAATAATTACAATACTCATACAATTTGCATTGGTAAGCTAAGTAAATACTGTATTTCAATCAAAACGCTCCTAAATGAGATGAAATAGGTAGTGCTCGGCGCAGATGGAGTTTGTGTAGATTTATGTAGTACGCAGCAGCGCGGTTCTAACAGTGCGGGAATGTCGGCAAATAACGACAGTTGGTTCCGTTTAGAGGTGCTTACTGCTTACATTACATGCAAAGACAACGTTGCGTAGCACGGAACGATCTGGAATGTTCTATTGTAAGCCCTCGCTAGTATTTGCTATTCAATAGAAATATAGCTGTTTAAATTTAATACAAATATGGTTTATCAAATTCCCTCATCATTCTAACGACCAAAGTAACCTTTGTATAATATCTACTAAATGGTACTTCTATACTACATGTCTATATGAAGAAACCGCGTCATACATAACGACCTAACCACTATTATATTACGTAAATATGTTTCATAACGTAAATATCTAAGCAGCTGAAAGTTATATGCGTACATCGTACTAACAAGACAATTTGTTAAAGCTCACTATGGCCTGGGGACTTCCAAAACTGCCGGGTCTGACGTTCTCAGACCCGACTAAGACACAATATCATATGAGAAGTTCGCTGCGGTACTACCAGGGGCACAGGTTCCCTGACACCGAGATTCGAGGCCCGGGGGGCACCGCCACAGATGTTGACAGCAACGCCTTCGCACTCCCCGAGGATACCGTCAAGTAAGCCAACAAGAATTAACAACTTGTCCAAAATCAACAAGATGCTTAGTTTGCCGATCTCCGATAATTTCTGAGTTGACGTCATGTCTGTAGTGTCTAGTTTTAGAGTTTTAATTATAGGTTCGGTATTATTAGTAGTACATTATTTTAATGTGTAAGTATTCTAGATGCGCGAACGCCGGCGTTAGCTTGAGGTTAAATGAATTAATATTAAAGTTGAGTAAAAGAGAACTCGGTTTGGGTTATCTGCAGGTTATTGTACTTATGTTTCGAGTATCGAAAAATCGTCCAGTGTCGTGTTGCTGCCAAAAATATCCATTCTTTGATGGCTTAATTATTTGGCAATGATCCACCAAGTATTGGAGTGACTCCCGCGCTTTGGGCCATCCTTTGGAACTTCTTAGAATGTCTGACGCAAACAAATTACTAATGTCGATGACCTAGCGTAGATTAGTCTCAATCAAGTCCTTACTTGTGTTTGAGTAATAGGAACCCTGCGATGCGCAATTTCTGGAAAAAGGTGAGTAGCTAATGTAGGTAGGGTAGGTACTATGTCAATATGTATTTAGCCAATGATATCGAGATTATAATATGTCTGATGTTGTTGTAGACTATATTAACTTTTTATACACGGAGTTTATAACATACGTAAAAGTGCGAACGGTTCTTAATAACTACATTACTACAAATCATGCAACCTAACTTAAAAAAACTAAACAGTTCCATATAAATCAAGCTTTTTAATTTACATTTTCGACATTCCTGTGTTCTCATACACCTATTCCGTCCGTTTGCGTTCCTGTGCTCAATATCGAAGGTCATTCGAGTAATGTTCAATTATAGACCGGGATTGAAATTGCACAGAGTTGGCAATTACCGTTCTTACTCGATACACCTCTATTGCGGCCTAATACTCGCCACTAAAGGTCTATTAGAGGTACAAATGGTTCATTCCAGTATTATCACTACCCGAGAAACGTGAACCTTGTAGTAGATATTCTGTATAAACCTGCCTATGGTATACATGTATCATGGATATATTTGTTGAAGGAGACAGTTAAGTAATCCTTTCTGCGAGTTAAACTAAATTGACTATTAATTTGAAACAAATATACTTATACACAATACACAATTGTCAATACACAATTTGTATGTTTTTTTATGTGATAGGACGGTAAACGACCGGGCCTGTTACCTATGATAAGCAATCGGCACCGTCCAAAACACCGAAGGAGTTACGAGTCCGTTGTCGGCCTTTCAGGGTTTAGGGAGGGATTTGGGGAGGGAACAGATAGGAATCCAGTAACCTTACTTCGAAACTCAACGCCGAGGTTGTTTCACGCCGGTTTTCTGTCAGGTCGTAGCATTACTCGGGTTGAGCAGACCAATTCGTGCCGAAACATGGCACTCCCACACTTAATATAATTTCATTATGTTTTATAGCGTAGATAAATATTATTAATTACATTCTATTGCTTTTGAATACAATTATGTCCTAACCTCATTGAACTTTTTGGGCCAAATAATAAAAAATACGTGTATTTACAGCTATGATCCATCGCTTACTTATGGGAGAGTGAAACAGCCGGCTCTGCCCGCCGTGGTACCGCATTGGGTGCATTATGACAAAAGATGTCTCAACTTCACTGCGTTCTTCAAGCAGCCCGTGTTTGACAACCCTGATGAGAACAGCCGCGTCAGGATCGTGAACATCATCTACTTCTTAGAAGATGACACCCTCACCGTCATGGAACCTCGCGTTAAGGTTAGTATTTATAATCATTTTTTTTTAAATAAATTACCTTTCTGAATAAGAACTGTTTAGGCTTCTATTCAATTGAAACTTTTTTATCTAACATTTGCTGTAACGAAGCTAGATTACAAGAATTTATTTCTTTAATAAGATTATTATCCTCCATGCTCACCGAACAATTTTCACAGCATATCAAGTATGTAGATTAGATGTAAAGGCTCGCTGCTTATTCGAATACGCGGCCGATACCTACGCAGATAGCAGCGGGTAATGCAATTCTCCTGTCTCTTTATATTCGCTACGTAATACCTACTACTTATTTGTACGTATTGATTTTGTTTTTCTTATTTGCTATTCTGTGCTGGCATTGCGGCGCCGCGTGTTACGTGAAACAATATTATATTTAGCATGCCCAATCCAGTGTCGACACGACCCTACTAAAGTATTTCGCCACCTTCATATGTGGACCTCGCAATTGGACCTTTTTACTACAAGCCTTTATTTAACTTTATATAAAAAGAGCGTGTTGTGGTACGGCTGCATTTAATTGTGTTCCAGGGAAGTTATGTTTGCGCAGGGTTATGATATACAACGTACTAAAGTCGTTAAGCAGCTGTTTTATTTACGTGTGTAAAATAAAGTATTAAACCGCATGCCGTTTTAATATTTTATTTCACTTGAAAATAAATGGAATTCTTTAGGTTCAAGGGAATATTTCAGTACTAAGGATGAAATCTATTAGAGAATGTTCTCGTGAAAGTACTTTTAGAATGTCACGTTAGGTATGCAAAGTACGCGTGACGCGAGAATATTTAGCGTAGTAAGAAATGTCGTGTAGTCTCACACCGGGGTTGAAACGTAGCGGCGTCGTAGTCACTGTTTCGCTACGGAGCCGCGTCGTAGCGTAATCGTAGCAATGTCGTAAATGTTTATCTTTACTTGAGCATTACAATAAACGTAAAAAAATTTAGATGTTACATCATATTAGGTGTGTTATCAAAGATATTTAGTTTTATCTAATCTCACAACATACACTTTCTCGATCTTTCCTTCTATTTTAGAAAATAATTTCGATGTTTTAAAATTATTGATAACGATTGGTAAATGAGATAACAGAGTTTACCTCAGATAAAAATAAAACCGAATCATAATGAGATTTTAGATTTCACCAGACGGCGGAGATAGCATTCACTTTAAAACGATCATATTTTGACGAAAATACGCTATACAAAAACACAAGAAGATATGTTTAATCAGAAAATTTTAATCCGTCTTTGTATTTATTTTACCTCACATATGGAACGGGATTCTGTTGCAATTGTGAACGGATCTGAAACGGAGCTAGCAAATGAGCACGCATTTGTCTCGGGATGAATGCGTCGGCGGTTGCAGCCGCTTTGTTCCGCGGGCTCGGCCCTTGAATGGCCAGCCGCTATTATTCACACAAAAATCATTTTATCTCCGTGGACGTGTGTTTTAATGCAAAAATATGAATTAATTGTACTAGTTCTAATAGGAATACGTTGATAGATTTAATCCATTTTTTAAAATGCAAGATCTAATTGAATTGACGGGTTTTATTGATACTATTTTTTAAATGTAAGTGCACCAGTGCAAGAAGTTTCTAAAAAAAATGTTTAAATCTGTGCGCAACAAGGCTAGGGTTTTCTTAAAATAATGAACTCGTGTAACCCTTGCAAGCGCTTTCACACAATTTTTTTATTAATGAATTCATACTGTAAACGTGGTTTTTTTAAATATAATTATAAATTTTAATAAAATTGGTTTTCACAACATTCGAAACATGGAATACTGGTAGCTACATGACAATACTTGGTGGCAATCAATATGGCTGCTGTCGACGCTACGTATACATGTATTTACAAAATAATTTAAATCACAACAGCTCCGGTCGGCCGTTGTCCTAAATACGTTTTATATTCGAAATTAGTAGCCGTCAGGTTCGTGAACCAGTAATATTTTACTCAAACGTGAAAAGAAAAGCTAGTAATAAATATCTTAAATAGACACTCAGCGTTTGTCTGTTCACGAAAAACTCAAAATATACTGAACGAATTTTTATGAGATTTTCACTAGTATACTCTAAGAAACTAACGCCCGGTTCCTGAAAGGCTTGTCAACGCTAAAATTAACTAATCTCCTGTTAAATCTCTTGTCAAGTCATCTGATTGGTTGTTGATAATTCAGTCAACCAATCAGATGACTTGACAAGAGATTAAATTGATTTTAACATTGATCGGCCTTTCGGAAACCGGGTGTAAAAATCGATTTTTCAAATTATAAGACGAGCGGTGGATTCCTCTACATTCTCCAGTTAGAACAGTAGTTGTGTGTTCGTTTCCGTTCACGGGACCACAGGGTCCCGGACCTTTGGAAGGCGTACGAGGGGCCGAAGCCAACTCGCAGAGGCCCGTTGAACAACTTTAATTGAAGTGAAATGGGACATCAGCCGGCAATTATCCCTGTATGCACTATGAAAGTGCACCCAAGGGTAATCCCCGGTTGATACAGGACTATTTCGAAATGTGGTAATAATTGAAAGGGTTATGGGTACGGGTTGCTATGGACTGGTGATATGATAACTATCGAAATACTATGGCAGCTGCCCCTATTAGTGATTGTCCTAATAACATTTCTCCATGAGTTTCTTTCGGCAGTAGATAATGCTCTTGATTTCGCTTTTAAGGTCAATGAATGTGGTCCATATTATAATATAGCCACAGTATTATTGACGATTTATAAATTATCTACATAACTGATAGTCATGTCTTTGTCTAGCAGCGCCATATAATATCAGGTTCAACAAAAGAAAAAAAAAACAATGTTTTGCCATTATTTTGATTTTCTAATAGCGCATTTTTTTTTTAAGATCTCACTTAATACATAGTATTGTGGATAGTTCTACGCTACTTTAATGTAATTTCTATATCTTCAATAATAAGCAAATGTATCTATTGCTATGTTTAAAATTACGTTTTTTTTCGTATTCAGCCAAGCAGCAGTGCTAGGTGAAGATTTCCAAATTATTAAGCGTTAAAAAAATGACTATCAATAAAATAGTTATAGTCTGATATTATTTGATTACAGAACTCCGGAATATGGCAAGGCAGAATGGTGAAGCGGGGGAAGATACCAAAGAATGACCTTGGCGAGTACTGGCATTGGAAGGACCTCGATGTTGGCAAGGACTTTTGTATCTATGGAAAAGTCTTCCATACTGTTTCGTGCGACCTCTTTACTAAGGTGCGTATACTCTATGGTGTATGGAAAGCATCCATAAACGTTTATAACGTAATTCTTTGTGATTTAGTTACGTGGTCTGGCTTTTAATGTTATTAGGTTTTTGGTGAGCATATATTAACAGAGGCACATAAGTACATTGATATCTAATAATTCATCGCTTTTAAGTATTTCATTGTAGATAAAAAAAAAGTAAAATCTAAAAAACATTCACTGTTTCTATATTGGTATATGATATAAAAGTTGATAAAATATTATATAACCTACCTACTTTTTTATATTTTAATCTGATGTGAAATATGACAGTTTATTGAATCGTATACACTGCATTGATTTAATAAATCAATGCAGTGTATACATAAACATAAAAACATTGTTTGATATACATAAAACACGAAATTAACGTTGAACCAAAAAGTATGTATGCATAAGCGAACTTATTTGATATCTAAATTTAAAAAATAATGCCTGGAATCAATTAGTTACATGTACCTACCCCAACTAAACTTTCCATTGAAATAATTAAACGTATGATTCGAACAATACATTCTCACGAAGACAATTTAAAACAATTGTTATGACATACGTTTTACCTACTGACTGACGTCATGACGGACGAACGTGCAGCGTGAGAAATCTTGCGATTGTCTTGAACTTGACTGCCCATGTTTGTACTCAGTTGATTCTCAACGTAAGTGGAATAAATGAAATGGACACTCTCCACTAAGAACGTGATCATTGTAATAATCGTGTCGATTATAATGTAAATTAATGTACCTAATCCTGAATACCTTATTAAAGTAAATACTATTAATAATAATTTAAAGTAGCTACAATGCAGTTTTTTACCTTGTCATGTAAGCAAAGGTTTTCAAAGTTATGACAATACTAGGCTGTGGTGCGAACAATGTTTACCTGTTTACTTAACTCGATGACCGCTTATGCAATTGGATGGTACACAACAAAGTGATCAAACACATAAACACTACACGTTGGCAATAGCAACTAGACGGTCAATAACCTATAGCGGCGTCTCGTTCTCGCACAAACTCGTTCATCTAACCTTTCTTTGTTAGTATCTCAACATGTATTCATTCAATCTCAACGAAATAACGTTATACCCCAAATATCCAGTGTTAATAACATGCAAAATGACATTAATGCAATAATCTTACCCTGTTAAATAGCAAATGACGGTGAACGAACGTAATTCGGCAGGAAATCGGATTGTCGGCAACGCGGCGAACTATTTTTAGGTTATTTAATTTGTGTTCGCGCCGACAAGGTCGCGGTTGAACGCAGGCCGCAGCCAGGGGGCTCTCGCTCTCCGATTATCAAAGATCATAGGTCGCCTATTGTGTCTTGTGTATGTTTAACGATGTTGTTTTACAAATTCTGTATCTCGCAAATTATGTTTTGCAAGTATAATACTTATTTTTAAAGGGAAAATGTGTAATAACCGTAATTCTCTTTAAAAACATGCCCGGCTTTAATTTTCATTTTCGCCTCCGTAAAAGTCGGTATTCCCAGCTGTAGGATTTATTGCTAGGAGGATTAGAACTCCACTCCGAGGAATTCAGAGCTTCAAAGTAAAATGGTTTCCAAGGGGCGTAGTTCAATTTTAGTAGGTACTTAGTAACGATTCCATGAGTGACTTTTATTGGTCCGCTTAGACTACCTATACGTATGTTTGTATGCAATTCATTGCATTCCCAATGTAAGTAATGGATCAATGCTTAATGTGAGACCTTCTGTGGAAACCGAAGAAAATGTAACCTTTTAATTTATTAAAGCTCTCTTTCTTTGATGAAATTGCGACCAAAATAAAAGTGCGCTTCGTCTGGGGTCCGGAGAGTTGATACACAACAATACTGTTATATCATGGACAGCATACAATGTTACCTTTGTGGAACAGGATTACTGGCAAATTAAACTTTCATCACAATGCTCCGTAGTCCGGACAATAGGAATACTTGCAAGTAGCAATAGGTTTGTTCCGAACAATCAAAAGATCTCCAGCTGACTGTTCTTTGATCCTTTAAGAGCCAAACGTTGCTTCTATTTACACGATTCATTTCATTATAGATACGTGGATAGAATATGGTATATTTATATCTATGTATATATTTTTTATGATGTGTCGTGGATGCGTTTACAAGAATAATAATTTGTGTATCACTCAAGGCGTGGTTTCGTGCGGGAATCGAACCCACGACACATAGGCGTGGCAGCCAGTTTCCAGCCACTGCGGCAACTGTGCAGTGCAGTCAAATTAGTATAGTTATAGCAATAAAAATACTAAGGTCAAAACAATAGTAGATGACGCTTAAATTAGAAAATTTAAGAAGATTTTCTTATCAACAACATCTATTCATATAAATCCCTACAGATAACTTAAATGGTTATCTATACTAATATTATAAAGCGGTGAGAGGTGTAAGTTTGTATGTAGGGGGTAATCTTTGGAACCGCTGGTCGGATTGCCAAAATGCTTTCACTGCTAGATAGCTACAATGTTCCTGAGTGCCGAGCAGAGTGAAATCGCGCGAGAGTGCCATGTTTATTATATTTTAGTCAACAATATACTATGTAGTAACTACAGAATAACTCCCGCGGCACGACCTTGATCAATACAAACAAACAGACAAGCAAGCAGACACTTACAAAGTACATCCGTATCTGAAACTATTTCCATATGTAAACACAAGTTTAGGATAAACATGTTTTAAACCGCTATTTCGTGGGAAGATAACTGGTTCATGGAAATTCCAAGTAACAGTACAATTATGTACATGGTATTTCGGCATAGAGGGATCGAGGATTCGGTTATGTTCTAAACATGTGAGAAGTTTGTGTCCCTTTTAAGAATGTGTTGGTTCTAGCATCGTAGGAATTCTTGAAATAATAAATTACATAAGAAGAAAATACGTCAAATGACTTCTCTAGCCCAGGGGCGAGGCGAGAGAGAGTGTCACAATCTTATTTACTAAGTTACAGTCGTTCTTATGCTCTAGGCCGAGACTGCAGCACCTACTTGCAATTGCTCCGCAACGATGGCAAATTCTTAATATCTGAAACTTTAGTAACTTTTTGAAGCAAGCTTCCTAGCAACATTTTAGTGCACAATCATCAATAAAAACCGCTAGTCATCTTAAGCTGCTAAGTCTAGTTTTTAAAATCGTGACCAAGCTTGAAGTTTCCTGTCCTTTTTGTATATACTAGCGGTCGCCCACGGCTCCACCCGCATGGTTGTCGATTTTACACTTTTTCTCTGAACTTCCACAAATAATTCAAGGCCAAAATTAGCCAAATCGGTAAATGCATTGTTGAGTTAAAACATTACAACGAAAAGTGGCATTGATTTTTATCATCATCAGATCAGAGGTAGAAAACATTAGTCAATATTTTAATATTTATCAATTATTGCCGTTCCCAATATTTTGATAACTAAATAGTCGAACAGCGATAAGATTACTGATGAAAAGTGCAAGTCATAGATACAATTTTATCACATTAAATATTTATTTACTGTCAATACACGTACAGTAGTTTAATAATATTTTGTCGCATAAAAAACAATGAATGTGTTCATTGATGATTGGTTCTCTCTATTCTCGTGTCATGATTAATTTCGTTATTGAGGATTTATTTAACATGCAAGTCATTAGTTACTAAAAGCTGCCGAGTCATCTGATACCATCGTATCTACTTATATTGATACTTAGCTACAATAAAAACATTACGCAAGATGTTGAAATAAACAAAAAATCAAGGTCTGCCTACATAACCTGTTCTTTTTTAGAAGTCTGTGTTGATAGGTATCTTTATACTAAAAATGGTGTAGTCCCCATTCATATTAATAGCTATTCGTAGTTTATCTACGTATTTGAATTATGTCTGTTCTCCAGACTTTATACTTATACTCACCAGCTTCATTTAAGCACTCAATACTTACCTATATAGCACTAATTATATACAAATGAAGTTCTATACTAGTATATAAATTCATTTATTACATAACGGTTGTCCAAACATTGTAAAATATGCCTGTATTCAAGTCCTATTCGATTAAAATGAAATAAAAATAAAAACGATATTTTTACAAGCATTTTTCAGTACATTCAAGATACGGCATCATCATGGCCGTCCTTAAGTAAACGCCATTAAATCAGCCCATTCGATCTGCGAGCCACGGCCGCGACGCGCAATATTGAGACATAATTATCTCCACATTTTAAAATTCAAAATGCGGTTCCTAGCAATAACAGAGCAATAATGTGAAACGAATGGCCGCCGTAAACCCCTCGAATGGCTTTCCGAATAAAGCCAAAGGGAGGTCGTGGGGGCTTAAAGAAATGTGTTTATTGCCGGGAACAATAGACCTGTCGCCGTTACAGCCACGCTGGCTGCCCAGTAAACTGATACACGCCCTTTTATGTTCTTTGCACACAATTAGTTTTGTGCGTCGAATCTCTGGCCCAACGGTATTACGAATGAGGCACCTTTAGAAAATAGTTAGGACGAAATTAATTACAGGAAAATACGTTCCTTTCAAACGCTTTAATGATCGGCTATGTGACCAATTGATATAGATAGATATTTTTTATAGTAACACAGAAAACTGTTTTATAGAACAATTTTAGTCTCCTATAAAACAGTGTTGAAATGTACCCATTAAGATAACATTCATTATCTACACTCAAGTATTAAAAATTAAAGGTTTGAATAATCAGTTTCTTTTTGTGAGGGATAAATCATTAAGTGACTTCTCTCGCCCAAGGTATGGGAAGAAGGAATGTCCGTTTCTAACTGACTAAAATCCCCCATTCCATCGCGTGCACCAGGCCGTTGCCGCAATATTTTAATTCGCTTGCACCGCAACCCCGAAGGTCCCTTGTTCCAGTTTATAAAACTTATCAATAAATTTATATTAAACCTACTGCTATAACTTCTAGAGAGAATATATCCTGCACACACACTTGTATATTATAATATTATTTCCATTTCACTAAGTTAAAAGGAAACCGAATACTTTGGCTTTCTATAAAAATTGAATTTGAGAATGTTACGGATAAGACCTATGACCAAATTTAAATAAAACGTATACTTGTGTACTGTGTACAGTGTGGGAGAGCCATGCTTCGGCACGAATGGGTCGGCTCGACCGGAGTGATACCACGGCCTCACAGAAAACCGGCGTGAAATAACCACAGCGTTGTGATTCGCCGTGTGAGTGAGGTTACCGGAGGCCCAATCCTTCCCCTCCCCCAATCCCTCCTAAGTCCCTAAATCTCCAAATCCCTAATCCCTAAAAGGTCGGCAACGCACTCGTAACCCCTCCGTTGCGAGTGTCCATGGGCGGCGCTGATTGCCTACCATCAGGTAATCCGTCTGCTCGTTTGGCGACCTATTAAATAAAAAATAAATAAAAAAAAAACTTGTATGTAGGTACTTTTTACTACTGCTAACCGGGGTTCAAACCAAAAAGCATAATTACACTCAACCGACAACGTTCATGTTTATTTCATTTCATCACTCGTCCATTCTGTGATTCAAAATGAGTGTCTATTGTTTAAAACATTTTTACCATTTTGCAAGTTATACATAATTTATTTAATATTTATTCAAATTACAACATGCCAGTTTGATTTTCCTGTGTACGGATCATACTCGTATTTCATACATATTATTCTAATTAATGCCGGAGTATTAGTTTCATACTGACGTAATCAATGTTTATTGTCAGTTTGTATTTCAACAACAATTAACGAAATACTAATATTTGCAGTTAATATGTTTATTGACAAGTTTGCTACTGTTCCATGCTTTAAAATATTATTTAGTTTCGAATATTTACTAAACGAAAAACTAGCTAATATTTGCTTTCTTCGTATGTGAAGTATTGACCATTTTGTTGAGAACTTTTGAGTGCGGGAGAGTTAAGCTGTGGTACGAATGGGTCGGCTCAACTGAAGTGATACCATGGCCTCACAGAAAACAGGCGTGAAACAACTACGGCGCTGTGTTTCGCCGTATGAGTGAGGTGAATGCTTCCTCTCCCCCAAAAGCCCGGCAACGCACTCATAACTCCCCCGGTGTTGTGGGTGTCCATGGGTGGCGCCGATTGCTTACCATCAGGTAACCTGTTTGCCAGTTACCTATCGTGTATAAAAAACTTAGACGAGTATTTTTATTTCATATCTGCATTGAGCGAACTTTGATAAGATAGCATTATCTGTGATAATCACCTATTATTATACTTTCATAATTGCTCGAGTGATGATCTTGTATTACTAAAGGCTTATTCGGTATTTGAATCAAACAGAGTATATAGGCAAACATTTATTTATTAAACATTTATAAAAAAAATAACATCAGTAGAATGTACTTGTCACTTAACAGTTGTCCACAACGAAGGTGGAATTAGATAAGATTATAATATTATTATCTAACATTAAGTCGTTTACTTGTTAAATATGTTATGAGTATAACATTTTTATTGATCACGCGTTTAATGTAGTCCAACATATTCTTATTAAATCACAGTGCACTGGCATAGTGAAGAATTACTTTGACTCCCATGTAGAATGAGATCATGAAGGGAATGCCGAAGGCGATTCCACGCGCTGGCTGAGGCAGGGGCTTGACGGCGTAGACCAGAGTATGTAGCACTCGGCCAGCAGTGTACACACGGAACAGTGTGGTGGCGAGCCCGGCTGAAGGACCAGTGGTCAGGTACAGCGCGCCCAGGATCCAGAACACGGGAATGTTCTCCAAGTCGTTGAGATGCGCGCGGCGAACTCGCTCCACGTCTGGGTCATCGTACTTCACTTTCCCTTTCTTTGCTGCAGCGTCCTCCGGGTTAGCAAACACATTCTTAGCGTATCGCACTCTGGCTGTCAAGAAGGCCATACCCAGAACTTTTAGGGCCAAGACGCTAGAATACAGCAGGTACGACTGTACCGCTGGATCGTCTATTGATATGGGAGCCATTTTTTAATGAAACACAGTCGCAACGTGCTCGATTATTAAATTCGCAGCCGAGTGGAGCGGCGCGCCGGGATATAACGGTCACACTGACTGAGTCGTTTGTTCACTGTGATACAGCGCTTCGTTGCCTGTTATCGTATAGCAACAGTATCACGTCAACCAATAGTGGGTGTTGTCAAACCGACTACAGCTATACTTGTTTACTCGTACAGATCAGCTGTGTCCAATTTATAGCTGCGTTTTCTTAAACTTTCTTTTAAAGTATTCTTAACTTAGCAAATTACACATATTCATTATGAGTATCTACTTACAGTCTTCTTTGAGACATGAAGATCATACAATTACTAGCAGTTTTTTAACTGATGTACTACACGCTTATACACTAACAAACGCTTTGCAGAATCGACCTGGTACTATTTATAAGTAGGTAAAGTGAAGTAGGTACTCGAAAACTCGTGATCGTCCATTAGGTACTGCCATAAAACTATCAAGGGATACACATTTTAATATAGTCGCATAATAATATATATCGGACATTGAGCAAAGAATTTGATTTAAACAGGGTAATTTGTCAATAAATATTTTTCCATTAAAAAAAATTACCTAAGTAGATCACTCAAATCAGTTATTTTTGTGTCAAATTAATAAATGGCGAAATACAATAGCTATACCTTACCTAGGTATATAGTATCTGCCTAAGCCTTTGGGGTATTACAAGCGTGATGCTACCTCTGTTAATATTCGAAGCTACCACCCTGTATCTACAGTAGGTAAATTCTGTTTTGACTTTAGATACATTTTAACATCCTAGAAGGTGTTTACATATTTGCATATTAATCGACAAACATATTATCCTAAAATAGAAGCTCGTTCAATGGATTCGAATTATACATTTCTTATTTTTTTATCTTTATTTTTTATTAGCAACTTTGACGTTAGTTTCTCTTATATTTAAAATTGCAAGCGCATGGAAATACATAATTATCTTTTATTTATTTCCATACTAATATTATAAAAAGGTAAAATTTGTAAGAACCGCTGCCGCTGAACGGATTTCCTAAATTCTTTCTCTTCAACAATGTTTCTAAATTCTATAGGCTATAAATCATCACGCTACGATCTATAGGAGCCGAGCAGCGGGAAACCGCGCAAGAGTAGCTTGTCTATCATATATCATTTAGTTGATTTTTTTGTAACGATTACCAATTCGTAGTATTTGACTGAATTATAACTATCAAGAGTTCAAGGACACTATAACGTATATTTATGTGAAACAGTATGGTCTATGGATTGTTAAGATTTTTTTTTTTTATAAGAGAAGTTTTTGCATGTACTTTAAATGAGTTACTTTTATCACATCTAATATGTAGGGGTGTCTACATGCATTTTGGTCTCAATAATTGGTGCTTTCGGCCCACTGTTACTGTTATACTGTTATTACTGGTTTCGGTTTCCATCCATGATACCAATAATATACGGTAAATTAAAAAACATTTTTTTATTGGCGCATTAATTTAGGTTTATTTTTTTCCTTATTTGTACAGTTTATTATATTTAGTGAGATATCACAAATACTTAGTTCACAAATCAAAATGCACTGATGTAGTGTAGCACCACTTTAAGTCCCATGTAGATTGAGATTATGAGAGGAATAATGAAGGAGATGCCTCGGCTAAGTGGCGGCAGGGGTATGACGGCGTAGACCAGGGTGTGTAGCACTCGGCCAGCAGTGTACACACGGAACAGTGTGGTGGCGAGCCCGGCTGAAGGAGAAGTGGTCAGGTACAGCGCGCCCAGGATCCAGAACACGGGAATGTTCTCCAAGTCGTTGAGATGCGCGCGGCGAACTCGCTCCACGTCTGGGTCATCGTACTTCACTTTCCCTTTCCTCAAAAGAGCATCTTCAGGGTTTGCATACACTTTCTTCGAATTTCGAGTGAAGGCTGTCAGGATGGATACGGCCAGAACTTTAAGTGCCAAGATACCGGAGTATAAGAGGTACGACTGTACGGCCGGGTCTTCTAGCGATATGGGTGCCATGGCGTAAAGATTTGAAGTTTCACTAGCAGGTTTTAGTGTCTGTTCTCGATGGAACTGTCGCGTCGGAGTGGCGTTCTCGGCTGAGATGTTTAGGGTAATAAGTAAGAGTAACTCGCAGGCTCACCATGATACAGCACTTGTGAGTTTGCTATCGTGTTTGTTTATAAGTGGTGCAACATTAACCGATTATCATGTCATCATTACGGTTACAGTTTATAATTACAATAGACTATCTGTTTTGTAAATCAGTTCTTAAGTAGCCTCCTCACGCCCCAGCCGCCGCATCAAGCGACACTACGGGCGTCGGGGATCAAGGGACGATCTCCGGCCACCGTAAGCGCGGGTCTGTGGACGGCGAGTAAGGGCAACTCGCCGCCCGATCACAACCAGACCCGAGCGTACGGCGCGTAGCGTTCCGCGCGCGCCTTCAAGAACCAATAGACCACCACAGACGGGGCCCTACAGGGCTGATGTTCAGCCGGGGTTGCGGGGTAAGCGCAATGAGCCCAGAGGCCGAGGTCACGGTGCACGGTCAGGAGAATGAACAGGGGGCGGGGGGGGGGGGGGTTTAGTCAGTAAGAGTCTGACACTCCCTCCCGCCCGGCCCTGGGCGGGAGAAGTCATTTGATTTCCGCTCACAAAAAAGTAGCTTCCTCAAAGAAATTAAGTGTAATCTTTTATTATTTTTCTGTCTTTGTATCTAAGGTTTTCGATAGGCAGTTTTTTAAATGAAGAATTTGTTTTCTGCCATGCACTATGGCAGTTTGCTAAGGGTGATACTACTTCTTGGCCTTTTTGGTGAGCCCTTGTCAGATCGATTAGCACTACCAAATTTCACGATTCCGGAGTATTGATTGTTTGATCAGATAAATCCTTTACCTCAAAATTATATGGCCGTAGCTCGTGGGAATTGAAACCACGGAACGAAGCACTGCGCATAGTCATTGGGTCAAACCAGTTTATCAAATTTTTATTCTATCGTATTTAAATACCACAAAAAACTTATATGTTATATCATTGATGTGTGCATTTAGTCTAGAATAAAGTTTAGTTAGTTTTAGGTTTAGGTGCTTACATAATAGCTACTCGAAGTTTATTTCATAATTTTATTTTATTTTGTATCGGTTACTTTGCCATTAATGCAAAATTCATTTTAGTTATTAATTATTTTGTAACTGTTAAGTACTGATTTATAGTCTACTAGCAAGGACGATGGCTTATATTTAATAAGAATAAAAACGTATACTAGGCATGTTTCTACATGTTTCGTGTTCACTCAAAAAAACTAAACATATAACCAGTTTCCGTAGACCCCAATCTGTTATGTTGTTTGGTAGAATGCAGGTACTTAGAAGAAGCTTGGAATTTTTTAACAGGTTTGTGTATTGTGTAAATAAATAACACACTTACTTTAGTATAAAAATATATTATTAACAATAAACCACTTAGAACAATTGATCACTTGAATGCGCAATGAGTTTAGCTGATTTACAATGCAGTGATGTAATATAATATAACTTGGAGACCCATGTAGAATGAGACGAATGCGGGGACAACGAAGGCAATAGCTCGCGCCGGCTGCGGGAGCGGGACAACGGCATACACGATGGTGTGCAGGATCCTGCCCAGCGTGTACACACGGAACAGTAGCGTGGCCCAGGCGGCCACTGGTCCAGTCGTCACGTACAGAGCACCCAGCACCCAGAACGCAGGAATGTTCTCCAAATCGTTGAGATGCGCCCTCCTTATCCTTTCCACGACAGGATCGTCGTACTTCACTTTACCGCCCTTGATCGTCTTGGCATCCTCTGGATTGGCGAACACACCACGGATAACTCGCGCCACACCGGTCATCGGCGACAACGCCAACAGTTTAAGAGCTAGAATAGCAGAGTATACAATGTACGACTGCACTGCTGGGTTGTTTAACGCAAAGGCGACCATTTTGTACACAGTTTATATTGTACGACACGAGAGGTAGAGAGTTTAGTACGCACGCTCGGCAGCACACCGCTCGAATGATAAACAGGCCGCGGTCGAGACGACCGAACTCACAAACAACTTCGTGTCGGTGTTACGGCGCTCCATACAGCTAACGACAACCTGTGTCCGCACGACATACATTGCTTAAAAATGTTTATTACAGCAACGGAATTTCTAACTAAACCGTAAATGTATTCAAAATTTATAGAAGCGTTCGCGATACTTGATTTTTAATCTTTTACATAGTATTTTACTTAATGATTACAAAGTTCAGAGATCGCTATCAGTTACCTACCTTTAGATATAAATAGGTTTTATTATCAATGTCATTATCATCTTAAGCAAAGACCTTCATACTTACTAAGTATAAATGGGAAAGTGTATGGAGGTATGTAATATACATATTTGTCTGTTCGTCTTTCACGGACGAAAACGGAACGACATATTAATATGATTAAGTAGAGATAGTTGAAGGACAGTGAGGTAGACTCTCTTTCTGTCTCCTTCTAACCCACTACTTCCGTAAATGGTTGGATTTTTATCGACCATGCCCCATTTTTCAAGGTAGAAAGTTAATTAAAAAGTACATGTAGGTAAATATAGGTACGTACCCCAAACCCTTAATAGAGGGGGTGAAGTTTTATATGGCACTTTTAACGTAATAGAGGAAGGATATTTGTGCGAGACACTCCGCAAAATTAGTTGGTCAGGTTATATTGTATAAAGACAAATTAAAGGAAAAAAATAAAAAAATGTTCATATGTAGCATGTTCGCGTGTGTCAATGCTCAGATTATTTAGATTTTATCCCAAAAAAGACGTGTTTAATAATGTCATCTATACTTAAAATAGTACCTACTCTGGTTCGAGTACTTAATCTTGTGTGTAATTTTAATTATGGAAGGGGATCGTCCAATTTAAAAAGTTACAAACAGTTACTTATCTATAACTCAATATTTTTTTTTTAATTTACGTGCTAAATATTTTTTAGTATTTTATCAAAAATTATCCAATGTAAGAAAATCTTTAAAAAAAGGTCATGTTTTTAGTTATTCGGTTTCATTTCCGGCTATAAAGATGCGAAGTCGTTCGTTAACACATTGATTGTCCATTTGATGAACTCACCGAATCGTTAAGATATAATGTAGGGGTAGAGCCTCGATTGAATATTATGACTTCCACGGGAAATTAAAAACGATAAACATTTTAAACGAAAAAAAAAATCAAGTGTTTCTATGCTCCGACTGAAGACAGTGACGCATGAATTTTAATGATTTTATTTAAAAAAAGAAACACTTTTTTGCGGCATAATTTTGTTTTACGTTCGTAAAACAAATTTACTTCATAGGACCTTGAACCATTAAGTAATGTTCCTTCTTTGGTAGGTAGGTACCTAAATTGAATGACCAGGGCTTCGTAGCTCGTGCATACAAGCCGTCAGCATCAGATATCGGTGCTATTTGGTCTGGACAATGAGCCTCGACTCTGTTTGTACAGTAACTGTCTGAACACGAGATCTCGGCCGAGGTCAGTGTGACAAGCAAGCGCCTGGCAAATTTCTTATAGCAATGCGACGACGGCATGCGATTGGAACATGTCATAATCTAGTAAAGTTTATGTTCTACTCGAAATATTTAATTCACGAAATATATAATTATAAAAAATGTTATCTAGTGTGTATTAAATTTTATTAAGCTATTCTGACATGGATTTCGTTTCTTCGTTTAAATTAGAAAAATAATTATACCTAAATCTCCGGGACTCCAAAAATAACCTCAAAATTTAAACATTTGAATATTTGATCATAAAGGAAGAAAATGCAAAATGAATGATCGTGATTTTTACATAAATGTATTTGTTGTTCCATTAATATATTCGAGCCTTCATTCTGTTGTAGGTAATATTTCATTTTCACTGACTACGGCTTCGTGCAGGCCTGTCCGGTCCTGAAACTGATTCATCAATTCATTTGTTTTTGAAGCAAAAAATACGCTCGTTGCTTTTTGGTTGAAATATAAACAACCGTCATTTACTTCGAACAATGGAACGTAACTTTCCTGAAAGGTTGAATTTATACGATTTGTATGTATTGTAATCACTATAAAATTACTAAATACTGTGAAAGAACATGATTGCTTTAAAATTTTGGCAGGCGCTTAAGTAGCAAGGAAATCTTAACCTATATTTAATGGTTTATGTATTGTTCCAATTTCTCATGTCCCACTTTTATTATACTCATATCTCTTAACGCTTTCTCCTAATTTGATTTGTGGCCCCTATTACACACTTGACATGTTTTGTATCCTTTTATTTTATTAAGCGAGAATCGGGTCATTCACCCAACTTCAGTCTGGTCGAGCTCAGTCAAAAAATTTACGTGTGTCTATACAAGTGCGTACTTTATTATGTTTTATTTAATATTAATCGTGTTCCTAGTAAATCAAGTCGAAAGAAACTTGATAAGTTTATACATTTCTTTACTATTTCTTCGAGATATCATGCGCCGCTGACTCCTGTCGTAATCAAATAGCAATATTTTGTTGTTCTTAAGAAAAATATTCTTGAATAAAGTAAAATGTAATTTATATTAATTTTAGTGTAAAATCGTATTTTTTGCCTATTTAAATTACTGATAGATGTTGAATAATTTAAGTAAAAGAAACGCCCCCGGGTGGGCTCGAACCACCAACCTTTCGGTTAACAGCCGAACGCGCTAGCCAATTGCGCCACGGAGGCTCGTTGATGGCAAGTCGAAATTGCCTAACATGATTGTGTAACAGATATCACATCAAAGATATAATTTCTTTTATTGATACATAATTATAATTTAAAACTTAAAAGACCTGTTACACACCTATCCTATTCAATCAAAATATAAAATGTATTCTTATAGATAGAACACAATGAATATAAATAGGACAATATAAAATATGAAGACACCATTTCAATACTTAGCTAATCAGGTACTTCAGGACTTTCAGCCAGGGCCAAAGCAATAAGGTACAGCGGTCTCAGCTCAAAGCAGGAGAAGTAACGCGTTTTTAGTCAGTAAGAGTCTCCCTCTCGCCTCTCCCTGGGCGACAGGGCGACAATCATCGGACTTTTAGTAATTCTATTATTCATAATATTTTTTCACTATGTTTAGTTTTTGAAACTCTTCTTGTACTATTTACCTTACAACACTCCAAATAAAACTAATCTGTACAATTTTTTATTTGACTACTATTAAAAAAAAATCTCTTTACATTTCAAAATATTTATTGTTAATCACATTCTGTGCAGGAATGGTTGGAGTCTCAAGGCATGGAGATATCGAAAGAAGAAGCATTACCGGTGGATTCTTATACCCAGAAAGAGAGATGGAAAAACGTGCGCCCACCAAAAAGATCAAAGGTCCAGGAAGATCAACTTCTCCGGTTCCTACAATACGATGGAAAGGTGCTAAGGTAAGGGATTTGCAACTCTTTTAAGTGTCTCACTTTCTGTCCATCGTAGGGGAGGTCAGGGCTGAAAGTTCAAATTTTCAAATAACATGAAATTAAATGATGTAAAAGAAGAATTTTATGATGAAATTCTATGATGCCAAGAAGAAGGCCTACCGGTTATCAACTGATCTTTTTTCCTATTTTTTTTTTGTTTTCTTCATGAGACTTTTACATTTTTGGGAAACATCGTGCACATTTCGGGTCTCCATAAATGGGAGGACTTTTAATAAGTAACAATTTTATTCGTTTTGGGCAAGTGTCGTTTTTACGGAGAGAGTCAATCGAGTCGAAAAGGCTATCGGAACATCCTTAAGTAATTCAATTAGTGAATTTTCGAACTATTAGTTATTATAATGTGCATTTTTTTCTTATGACGTCAGTGTGTATCTCTGGTCAATCCAATTTACCAAATGATTCGTATGTTTTTTTTGTGAGCAGATATGAAAATTTCTGTTCTGTGTTTTGGTATATGAAAAAATGTATGTATGTTTCGCAATATATAATAGAGAGATCTAATAGAGCGTACTGCATCCAGGTAACAGAGTGTAACATTATTTTCTTTAGTAAATAGAGAACAGTGGAAGTTTACGTTTTCGTTTGGTCTTTGAGCAACTTTATATGAAAATTCAATGCGGCACGTGGAGCTTTGAAACTAATAAATTTACAAAGGAAATGTTTGACGTGAGGATATTTTAAAGGAATTTATTTTGTTTTCTCTTTCATAGGAAAAATAAATTCAGTGTAAAGTTTGACTAGTCCAATCTTAGTTTCAAATTTCCTAGTTGCCTAATAAACTATGTGTATAGGTGTATGGTCAAGTTATTTCACTATGGTATCTAAAAAGAACTAGCTAATCTATACACTGGGGAAAAAGTACATGAAATACATACCTATATGTAAAGCATATCGGTACACAGGTGGTTTGAATTTGGTATTAAGGCCGAAACGTAGTAAATTCTAAGTAAAGAAAATTTGTGTTAGGTGCAGTAAATAAGTGCTATTTTGACCTTCATGATTTCAAAATTCTTAAAACGTAACATCTAAAGTTTAATTAAAAATTCAATTAATTTTGACAATTCCAAATGTCGCGTCACAAATGCAATGTTCGAACTGAACTTGGAATTGTATGTAATTAAATAGTAGGAGTCTATCTAATCAGAGCTCGGTTTAAACAGGTAACTAGTTACAGCTACCGTCGAGTCTCGGGGGAGCCATCCAACTAGGGTTTGTCTTCAAACCGTCACTCACTGCACTTAGATCGGATTACCTGGGCCGCTGGGAAACACAGTCGCAACTTGCAACAACAGCATCGAGTGTTTGTGTAACATGTTTAGAGTGTAATCGTATATTATTTTTACACTGTTATTTTTCAATTTTGCATTCAAGATTGCAATTTCGTAGTTTCTAACTAATCAAATTCAATACTTTTATTGAAATGTCAAAAGCTTTTCGATGATGAAAATATTTTATTAAACCGTAACATATAACGTTTAATATTTTTGCGTAAAAACCAAACTTATATCTGAAATATTTGCAAGAAAAATCTAAAATAATGTTTATAGTCGAATCGATGAATATAATAAGTCATTGTACTGAAAAGACAACGTAATTTATTTTTGACCCAGGAATAAAACATAAAATAAAATATACGTTTTTCTTGTTGTTCTTATAACGAAATGTTTATTGTGTTACTGATTAAAATTACCAATTAATGCTAACCATAGCGCACTTGGCATTCAAGGCGTGTGGTAAGGAAACCCTAGAGAAAAGATAACTCGTATACTCTTATACCTATATTCTCTTCAATGTCCAATTTGCTTTTGTTTATATGTTTTTGAAATCCTAGACTTTGTGATCCTTTAGCTAAACGTTACATCAGAATTTGTGTAACAGTTAAGCAAAGGTTTCATGTGAGCAGTCACATAGCCAGCTTGTTCATTCAAAGTTATTTCGTAGAATTACATCCAACAATTTGTTTGAAGAGAAACTCAAAGCTTACTTTGATACGTTGTACGTTGGTCAAAGTAATGAAAACTCTTCGCTGTACCCATGTTATTACTTGGCATTTCAAAATAAACATTATATCATGCAATATTACGCTGATAAAATATGGAGCTACATTTTACATCATTATTTAACAAAGAAAATGTTTTCTACATAATTCAAAGAGTGCAGTGTTCCGTGAAAATATGTTGTACTTAATTAATTAGTGATTATAACATGCTTTTGTTTTTCCTAAGCGTCATGGTAACCTGTTTTGTATGATAACTTAGAGAAGGAGAGCCCATGATTCGGCACGAATGGGTCGGCTCCACCAGACTGATGTCACGGCCTTGCAGAATGCCTGACTAAAACAACAGCACAGTTTTGTGATTCGCCGTGTGAGTGACGTCACCGGTGGCCCGTTCCTTCCACTCCCCCAATTTCTAAATCTCCAAAACGAATGCCCAAAAGGCTGGCAACGCACTCGTAACTCTACCGTTGTGGTGAATGTCCACGGTAAGCGCCGAATGCTTACCATCAGGTTATCCGCTTGCCGTCCTATAACCGAAAAAAAAGACTTATCGGAAAACATCTACTGATAATATCTCCATCAAGGTTATTCTGGTCTTCTCGCTTTAAGATTGATTGGGGGTAATAAATAAAAAAACGATACCATTAAAACGCAAACGTTCCCTATACAATGCCTATCATTGCCGAAGAAGAAGAAGAACAGAAAAGAGAAAGCACCTTATAATGAATGCACGGGCCTGCGGTCGGCGAGTAAGGGCAGCTCGCCGCCCGACCAGAACCAGGCCCGAGCGTACGGCGCATAGCGTTCCGCGCGCGCCTCAAAGAGCGCCATTCGACCACCACAGACGGGGCCCTAAAGGGCTGATGTTCAGTTGGGGTTGCGGGGTAAGCGCAATGAGGTACCGCGACCTCGGCACAGAGCAGGAGAAGGAACAGGGGGGTTTTTAGTCAGTAAGAGTCTGACACTCCCTCCTGCCCGGCCCTGGGCGGGAGAAGTCATTTGATGATTTTCCCCTCACAAAAAAAAACCTTATAATGAATGGAATTACTCCCGCACTGTTATTGTGCTGATATTCCGAGTATACTTGTAGTAAAATAATTGTCCTAATTAAGGATTTTAATGCTTTTTTTATTGCTGAGCATCCCTGATCTACTCTTGCAACTGCTCCTCCAATGGGATAGTAACTTTTTGAATACAGAAATTGGAGTTTTTAATTAGTGTAGAAGACATAGTTCACTATAGACTGAAGCCCGATCCTTTTCCTAGTTTACTGATTTTTCTCCCAAGTAGAACAAAGTATTTAAAGTGACGTCACAAAACTAAGTTACTTTTATTTCCTCGACAAACTTAAGACTGGCTTAACTTGAAGTGCTTGATTTTATTACTTATTTATATTGGTCGATATTGTTAAGATTTATTTTTAACTAGCTTTTGCCCGCGACTTCGTTCGTGACTTCCTGCAGATTTTTGGTATAAAAACTATCCTATGTCCTTTCTCGAGTTCCAAATTATGTCTTTGCCAAATATCACTGGAATCAGTTCAGAAGTTTAGGCGTGAAGAGAAGACAGACACACTGACAGAGTTACTTTCGCACTTATAATATTAGTTTGGATTGTTAAAGTTTGCATTTGTTTTGCGAATTAGGCTAGCATAATATGTAAAGAGCATATTATAACTAAAGTATAGAAATATTTTATTAATATGAAATGCCTCACAAAAATATTTTATCAAAATATTGTTTTAACTTGAATTCTGTTCTAGTTGAACTGTTTTTTTTTATTCGTACGATGAGTTCATGAATGTAATCGTATTTCAAAGGAGAGGAGCATTCATTCGCAATCTAGTCGGGGTGGCGAGAGTCCGCTTGGCGCTCTGTAAGAATTACGTCCATGTTAATTGCAAGGTTTAATTACGTACTCCCGCCGCTTACTGCTCCAAGCGAGGTTCCGGACTTATTACAATAGATTCTTTTGTGATTTTAATGAAGACTTGCCATTATTTGCTCTACAAATAGAGATTATTGGAGCGAGCTCCCAGGAGTAAACATGTTATAGGCCATACTTATACATAAGTATGGCCTGACGTACATGTGCGTCTACACGACAGATACTTATTCCTTAGATTTTTCATTACATTATTATTCACACTAAGGTAATAGCTATAGCTAGTGGTATGTTAATAAAAAGTAGCCTATATCTTATTCCGGAGTGTATCCTATCCGTCCAGCCGTTATGGCGTGATTGAGTAACAAACATTCAAACGTCGTAACTTTCGCATTTACCAGTGGTGATATACTAATATTAGTATAAATATATAAGATTAATATTATCATTGACTCTGTAGCAATATAATTGTACGCATAGCAAAGCTTGTAGATGAATGGCTGACTTTGTGAGAACGATAACTGTTGTGTGTCGAGTTCTCGAGCACACAGTCGTAAATACGGCAGACGGAGAACGGAGTGTTACCAAGCAGATCGTATAAAGTTTTATTTTATCGATCACTTCGCGTCAGAATCTGGTTTTCGTTACTCCACCGATTACATTGTCCTTCGGCCCGTACGTTACGTGACACTAGTAGAGTCACTGGCCAAACGCCGACTTTATTAACATTAATTTGATTCAAAAGGGACAAGAGTTAATGACAATTGAACTAGCCTAGACGAGCCTCGTGTTTTAGATGTACGAACTTAGGTGAAATGAAAAACTTAATGACGGACCCGAGTCTGTAAATGAAGGTCTTATTGAGCTTGCCCGGTAGGTTTGCGGAAACAAAATAGGCTTTTGGCGATGATTGAATGGGGGAAGGACGAATGTCTTCATTCAGTACGTATCTACATATACTTATAGATGTTCCTTTTTCGGTATTGTTTGGTTTGCTATGAACGAAGGACTAGTAGGCGGGACATTCTTGGAACACTGTTTACATTTTCTTAGATATTCATAA